ATAAATGTAAATAATATGTTAATTTAAATAAAACTATATGAAGTCAATTTAATTAAGAGTATTAAAGCAACAAAAATAAAAGAATAGGTGGTCTGGTGGTTAGCGTTCTTGCCTTCCACGCGGAGGATTGGAGTTCGATCCTTGGATGGAGAAAAATGTAATGAACTTTTTTTTTCGTTTATTTTATTTGAAAAATTATTAAAAGTCATAAATTATTTTAAAATTAGTTATTTTGTCTTAATTACCTAAAATATTTTTTTATTTGTAAATTTTCGTTAGTGGATCGTAGAAAAAATATATTGTACAACTCGAGTGGATTGTCCACATCGTACTCAGACGATTGAGCACTCCGCCTACGGCGTCGTGCTAAAATTTCGTCTTCGTGCGATATGCCCATCATATCCACTCATGTTGCACAAACTACTATTCCATACTTGGAGAGTAATTGTTCAAAGAGCTTTAGACCACATATTCAAAGAATCTTGTTCTTTATTACCATCTCTGCTAATATGTTTATTATAATATTGCTTGAGAAGGCCCCAAATAAGTTCAATACTGTTAAAACACTATTGTGAAGACGACGCACACAGGCGAATTTTTGGAAATTCTTGGTCATAATAATATATCATAAAAAAAAATTGAAAAAAAGCTAACTTTTTAAAAGTTGATTTTAAAAGGTGTTTTATTATAAATATTAAGTATTAAAAATATATATATAATGGATATAATACAATTTTAATTCTTTAAACTAAATCTTAAAAAGCTAGATGACTAACGCAATCACTGTCTTCTGCATCTAGTTCTTCGATCGGCAATTTCGGCTCTTTAAAAAACTGGGGTGGCACAAAATTGATCGAAAACATTTGATTGAATGCATTTGATCGAAAAACATTTTATCGAATAACAATTGATCGAAAAGAAAAATGATCGAACAGAAAAATGATCGAAAAGAATAATGATCGAAAAGAAAATTGATCGAAAATAGATTTGATAGAAAAAGCAATTGATCGAAAAACCAAATATTCATAAAATTATAGAATAAGAAAAATGAAAACAAAAATTTTAACTAATTTACCTAACATGTGTAGCCTAGAATCATCGCTGGTTGCTTCGCAAAAACAAAAAATGAAAAATAAAATAAACTTAATTAACATACCTCTAACCTAACTTGTGCGAGAGCAATCAGTTAAATTTGAATAGCACAAGGTTAGGTCAATTAGTTTTTTTTTATTTTCATAATTTTTTTGCGGGGCAAACCGCGACGTTTTCAGACTGGAGCAATTTAACTGATTGCTCTGAGACAGGTTAGGTAAGGTAAGTTAGTTAAGTTTTATAAAAAGAAATAGAAATAAAGAATACCTAACTAATTTACCTAACCTGTGTGGCCTGGGGCAATTTAACTGATTGCTTTGACAGAGCTTAGGTAAAAAACCTAACTAACTTACCTAAAACTTAACTAATTTACCTAACCTGTGTCAGAACAATCAGTTAAATTGCTCCAGGCCGTACAGGTTAGGTAAATAGGTTAGGTTTTCTTTATTTTCCCTTTTTTGTTTAATTTTTTTTGCGAAGCCACCCTCGAGGGCTCCAAGCCGCATAGGTTAGCTAAATTAGTTAAAATTTTTGTTTGAATTTTTCTCATTTTTTGCGTGGCAAACAGCGATGGCTCCAGGTCTCACAGGTTAGGTAAATTAATTAAATTTTTTATATAAAAACTTAAAATAATTTACCTAAAATGTCCCATCGGGAGACTCCTCGACCTTATTGAAATACATATTTTGTGCGAATTAATCACATTTTTTTAATCCAAATAACCGTTTAGCTCTAACATAATTAATTTTAAATTAACAGTATCGAAAGGATAACATTTAAAATTTGCCATTAGTACCTAATTTTGATAGCAGCTTAGTTTAGTTTTCCTGGTAGTAGGGATTAATTAGACGGACGATTGAATGGTATCGTTTGATTTTTTGATATTTTACTATTTTTAATGTTGATTTTTGATATATTGTCCTTTCGATCTAATGAATTTTCTATCTATTGTCTTTTCGATAAAATATATCTTCAATCAAATGTTATTCGACCATATTTATTTTCGATCAAATGCCATTCGATAAAATGTATTTTCGATCAAATTGCCAATTCGATAAAATGTATTTTCGATCAAATTGCCAATTCGATCAAATGTTTTTCCATCAATTTTGTGCCACCCAAAAAAACTGAAGTAGTTCTGAAGAAAAAGTTCGTAATTTTTTGGTTTCTTATCTTTTTAAACTAGTTATTAAAGGGTCTGGAGATATTAAAAGATTATGAAAAACATCCTCCATGTTTTGAAATCTTAAAAACTTTCTAGAAAAATGTTCCCTATGTATTTTAATATCTTTGTTTCTACTCTCTTGTCCTCTCCTCCAAGTTGCCCTATTGGTAAAATGGCTGTTGAAATAATATTAGAACTATGAACCAAACTCTTGTGAACTGTTGTCGGCATCCTGTACCACGGATAAAGTTCTACATATTTCTTGGCCGTATTATGGCAGTACTTTTGAAATGGATTGGTATTTATTAAACATCCAGAAGATATTGCCGAAAGTATAACCTTATATCGTTTAATTATATCTAGATCTACTCTTATTATTTTTGAAGAAACCTCTGGATTTTAGAAAAAACGCCGAGCTGTATTGCCGTCATTAGTACTGCCGAATCCTTGTTTTGATTTATCTACACCCAAATATAATCTAAAGGCTTCTTGAATTATTTTCTTTTGTTAAGCAACTTTTTGCTTGTTTTCTTCACCGCGTGCTTGCCACTGACGTATCGGTAATCTGTATGCTAATTTAGATGTGTCGATTTTTTTGGACAAAACCAAATCGATGTTATTAAAATCTTTTGATGTTAATCCACACAAATAACATTTTTGTCTAATAAAATTGCAAATTTTGTCATCGATCATTGTAAGTAGCAAGTTGTGTTTGATATAAACATCCTTATTCTTTATGTTGATTTTAGTTGGAATAAGAGAATAATTTGATTATCGATATGTGTTACCTCTTTATGAGTTACTTCAGTTGTTTCTTTAATAAATTAAATTCTAAGGGCCTACAATACCTAGTCGATGAAGTATGAAGGTTTGCCAAATAACAACTTTATTATCGGAGTTTGAGTCTCCAGATACCAACTATATTGGGACTAGTGATGATAAAAATATACTTGCATACAGAAGGATCAGTAAATCTTTGGTTATATTCACTTAATCCGGAATTGCCAATGCAACCCCATTTTAAAATTAAGCAAAAATTGTCTGGTTGCTTGAATTCAAAATCTCTTTTAAAGCTCCAACTAAACGAATAATGGTATGGTCAAGCAGATTCTGTATTTCAGCCAAGCTTTCGGTTATTATTAGGTTTGAAGGGTAACATAGTTTTTATGCTAAAGTTACTACCTCATAAATGGTACTGGTATTTTGTTAATTATGCTTCTACTAGAAGTGATAATACCTCATCAGCAGAAAAAGGAATGGGCTTCTCTTTGGAATAGGCAGCTTTATATTTTCAAGCACAAGTTTCTGTTGAAAAAATAACTTTTGAAGTATCCCTCAGCTCTATGTTGCATTTGAGCAGCAAAACTCAACTCCTGCTCCAAGTTGTACCGTAAGATTACAGTTTTTCTTCTTTTTGAACGATCCCTTGAGCAAGAAAAATCAATCGCCCTTCTTTTACTAGTGCTAGGTGTGGATAATTCCACTTTGGAGGAAAATTGAATGGGGTGTGTGAAGTTAGCATCTCAAATCTTAGCATCTCATATTTTGAGCAGAGTTCTTATGGCATCCGATATAGTTCTATAGTTCCTGATACTTTCTATCAATGGTTCTATCGAATTTAGTACCGAAAAATGCAATTTAAAAAAGAGATGCTAACGACCGGAAGTTAGCATCCCAATATAAAAAATGAAATAAATTTAAAAAAGCGGACTGTTAATCGATAGTTTACGAAGAGTTCTAGAGTTCTTGTTCGTTTGAATAGCTAAATTATTTTATTTACAGCTCTGGCACTCTTAAAATAATTATAAGTAATGATTATACATTTAAATTCTAGGCGATAGTAAAATACTGTCATATTATGACAACTTCTAGAACACATATTGCCCCTAAATTACAATGCTTCCTATTAATAACTTGACTCTCTCTATATTAAGACCTATAGAGTTCTAGAATCTAGCATTTTTTTAATAATTTTAATTATTAATAATAGACCTTTTCATCACAATTTTTTTTTGTGCGCATGCGTCAGTATCTGCCATCTTTTTCGTACTGTTTTTGTAAACAAGCATGTTAAAATGCCCAAGTGAAAAAAATTATACTCGATAAATAATAATTGAAGTACTTATATTCATTTAAAAAAGGAAGAAAAAGTAAAATAATAAGTATAGTGTCTTAATTGATAAAATAAATTTTTGCAATCAATTATAATTACGTTATCTGTATGGAAAGGAACAACGAAACGGTGTTGTTATGTAAAAGTGACACACGGTATATTCATTCATGTTTTATAAATTTTCCAAAACCTTTGCTCAGTGTCGGACTGGCCCGGTCGGCAAGTCGGCATTTGCCGACAGGGCCAAATCCTTTTGGGGGCCAACGGTCAAGCACTAGAGATAAATCAAACCACCATCATAAAAATTTTGTTTATAATAATTCAACGAAATCTAGGAAATCTGGAAACATTGGTGCGTCTAGACGTAGTCTAGGCTGCTGAGACAATTTGTTCTACGTTGATACTTGTTTTTTTAGAAATTTCTGCAAATATAAAAGTCTTTTAATATCATTTATCATGATAAAAATTTTTGAATACGTGACTCCCGCTTCAAATTATCTTCAGACAGAAAGTATTGATGTTATCCAAGATTTTGGTAACAAATCTGAAAGCAATGTTAAATGAAATATATGACAAATTTTAATTGTTAAAAAGACGAATGCATTTTTAAATTATATAAATCAAATTGAGATCATTAGAAACAAAGATATTGTAATTAAACATGAGCTGCTACAACAAAGGTTAAGAAAAAGGAAACGTATGGTAGACGAAACAACTGAAGATTCCGTTATTACCGATCCAATGAATAAATTTGAAGTTGAAGTATTTATATCAGTAATTAATCAGGCAATTCAAAGTATAAGTCAGAGATTTGAAGCCAACAAACAAATTTATGAAGATTTTTCAGACCTTGACTCCAGAAATTTTGAAAGCTTGGATTTATTAAGCGACTCCAAAGTTACTGATATTGCAGAAAAATTGGGATCGATAATGTAGAATTAAAAAATGAATGATTGAGTTTTACATAAATATATCCGGATATTAAAAAAAATGTAAAAACAGACCTCTGCATAAATAAGTCTGAAACAAATGAATGAGTAGGTTGCGTACACTGTACTTTTAAAATTTTAAGAGAATACAATATGTATATATCCAGTTTTTCAAATTTGTATATGGCTTATAAGTTTTTAATTATTTTGTCTTGCACCCTAGTGGCATGCGAACGAGTATTTTCTCTATTAAAAATAATTAAAAATAGACTTAGATCCAAACAATTTAAAAATATACATACAATGAAGTTATATATTAGTTTTGTTAGATCTAGACTTGAGTATGCGTCAGTTGTATGGAATCCATCACTTAACATTTATAGTAGCGCTATTGAAAATGTGCAAAGAAAATTTATAAAGTCCACATCATATCTTCTAGACAATATCTATCCTGCTAGAGGATTTCCTCATGATCAAATGTTGCGCGCTTTGGTTTAATGGAACTGCACATGGCTTAACTGCATTGAATTTCAGGATTATATCAACATTAAAGTACCCCGCCCTGGCCTTAGAATAAACTTAAGCTTTTACTTGCCAGCTGCAAATACAAATATTTTGAACGGTTCTCCAATTTTTCAAATGGTCAATAATTATCATCGCTTTCAAGATAGTTTGGATATTTTTAGTTGTAAGAAAATAGATATTGTTAGAGCTATTACCATAGAAACTGAGTAGGTGTTTTATCCCTGCTTAGTAAGTTGATAATATATCGTTTGTGTGTATTTATTTTATTTTAATTTAATTTTTTAAAATTTGTTTTACGCTCCTTTAAGAAGTTAAATATAACTGAATATTTTACCTTCAGTTTTCCTTAAAAATAGGCTTTATTTTACTTCTTATTTGTTTCATGTCAGTCATATCTGATGTTCTTAACTAGTTTGTGATGTATATCAATAATATATTGTATTTATTTTTAATTTATGTTCATCCCACTCTGTAATTGATTTTTAACTGTTGAGTGGTGTAGTAAATAAATAAATAAAAATAAAAAATAAATTTATTAGTCCAAGAATTATTGCAGGCCTTAATATTAATGAATACGAAAAGAGACATCTTAAATAGAATTAACCCAGAAAAAATTATCGATAAGTTAGCTTCTACAAACTCAATTTATTATAATGCTTTGACTTTTTAAGCTTCGTTTTTTCTGATTATGTACACCTATCATTAATAGGCTAGTTTTTTTTTTATTTTTGTTATGTTCTTTAAGAATGTTAGTTTTATTTTGTTTCGTGATTTTGTACGTGTACCTGTTTATTTTAATTATTTATGTCTGTTGACAACGTTATATTTTGTCATATAAATTTTTAGTCAGAGTGAGATTTAGTCAAATAGTACTTACTTATTTACACTCCTATTTTTGACTATGTAATATTAATTTTCTTATTTGTTGTTGTTTATGGAAGCAGGTTTTTTTTATGTTAATTTGTGATTTTTTTCCTTTTTTTACTTTTATTTTTATTTATTTTGGTTTTAATATCTAAAATGTTTTCGTTTTGTTTATTTAAAAAACTAAAAATGTTTTATATAAAAATTAACCTTTATTTTTTATTTATTACCTACACAGTATTTATACTATGTTTTAAACGCATAATTTTACAGTTTTTTTAGATTATTTGAAACGGTCGCAAAGTACTTGAAATTTCATGATTTTGGACTATCTACTATTTTAACACTACTTTTTAATATATAAATTCTAAATATTTTTGACTTAAATATGATTAAACACCTTTATGGGAATAATCGAGTTGGTCAAACAGAGTAGAATGGAGGCCAATTACTCGTGGTGCCGATGGGGCCAAATTTAGCCAGTCCGACCCTGCCTTTGCTGCAATATCGTAAAAAATTATCAGGCAAAATCCATATTAAAACATGTTCAAAATGTGCATTAGGTGTAAAAAAATGTGGTCGAAGTGACAACGGTTTTCGATGGATTAATGATGTTACTAAAGATAGTTAGTTATATTTGTTCACTGCATTTTCATGGAGAAAGTTGTCCAACAGAAAAAAATTCTTATCTGGTATTAAATAATATTTTTTTTAATATTAAATACTACTTCGGTATACATAGTAATATGATTAAAAATGTCATGTTGATCCTCAAAATATTAAATAATTTATTTTATAAATTATACTCGTGATTAACTTTCATGTTAATTAAAGTGTTTTTGCAGGTAATAATAGTTGGTTGGCATAATTAATTAGAATAGAGTTATAATTATTATTTGTTTTCATTAATTTTTTACACAGTTAAGAAGTATTGATACACCTAACCTCTCAATCAGTCCACTTTGTTCCGTTGTAACAAACGTCCAAGACACTTCAACCATCTTTTCAAATGCTCAAAACTATGCGCTTCCATAGAGTTTTAAAAAAGATAATCACAATCAACGATTTTTTCTAATGATTAATTTTTCTGTAGAGATAATATTGCTTTCCCAGCCATTGTCGATCTTAACAGTACGAAACTTTTGAATTACCGCTATTTCAGCATGGTGGCTGCGCTTGCGCTCATCACATGATGAAATGGTCTATTAACAAATGTTAGATGATGTCATATTATGACAAGTTCTAGAATATACAATGCTTCCAAATGATAACTTGACCCAAAGATTTCTAGCCTCTAGCACGTTTTCAATAATTTGATGTAACAGAAATTATAGACCATGGTAAAATGCTGGCACATTATGACGAGTTATAGACTATATAATGCTTTTAAATGACATATAGACTATCTCTGCATAGAATCGGGAAGAGTTCTATCCTCAAGCACTTTTTGAATAATTTTAATTATAAATAATAAACAGAAATTGTAGACTATAGTGAGATGCTGGTACATTATTTATTTATTTATTCTACCCACCAGGCCTACTGGCCTAATTACAAGGATAGTTATTTTACAAATTATATAATACATAAATTGTACAATTTTAATTCTTAATTAGTAACTAAAACTAAATTTACATTATCCAAACTAACTTAAACTAAACTAAAGGGGATAACAATTCAAAGTACAATGTTTAACCAACTAATATGGACCACATTATTCAAAACAAAAAATGACACTTCTAAAAATAAAAATATTTTAACAAATTTAGGAAATAAATTTTTCGTTTAGAGCCATTACTTTCATAAATAAAATGGTGATATGTAGAGTATTATTTTTACATTATTTTATTTTGTTATTATACAGACAAGTTATATATGTATTTCACAATTACATTTTTAAATTTATTATAAGGAAGGTTCCAGTCGATATTCAATATACTGTAAAAGGTCTTTTTTATTTTAGATTAAAGATACTAATTAACGCCCTCTAGATATAAATAGACGAATTAACAATTCTAATATTTAAGAAAAATAGTTTAGAGGTTGTCAGATTTAAATATTTTGACATCGGCTAATAGATGGCGTTGGAGAAATAAATGTTTCTTAATTAATAATATAGGTTTATAAAAAATTATACCTTCAGAATTATAAACACTTCATGTTGTCTAAGAGCCCATTTTAGTTCTTGTAAGGTTTAAAAAAGTTTTAAATTTGTTTTGTCTTAATGTCTGTCCGTTCGTGAAATATTTTAATAATTTTAATTAATAGTTTTAGACCTACTTGTGTTTTGACATCAACTTTTTGTTGCAACTACTGTTTTTATGCATTTCTTAAAAAATACTCGCATACTTGTTTTTTACACCGACCCTGTGATAATCTCTAAGCTTAGTCTTAAATAGATGAGTAATACGGGTAAGTTCTTGATATTTGTTAACTTTCATAATTTTTTTAAACCCACTTTATTAGTTATGAGCTTATTCGTTTTTACCTATCTATTTTAGACCATACCTGATGATGAGGATCTGATCTCCTCGAAACCGGTCGTATTAAATTACTCTTGTGAGATCTTAAGGACCACCCTTGTTTTATTTACCTCTTTTTTGAAAATAAATATAGTTTGGAAAAACTAAAAAACACGCCTTTAGAGCATATCAAACTAAAAAGTTAAAAATAATTTTTCAAATAAGCTTAAAACAATAATAAATGGAAAATACTAGTATTATTGTGAAAAAAGCGTCGGGCGCTCGATGTACGAGAAATATGGACAAAGCGCCCCACGCTTTTTTCACAATAATACTAGTAATTTCCAATTATTATTATTTTAAGCTTATTTGAAAAATTATTTTTAACTTTTTAGTTTGATATGCTCTAAAAGAGTGTTTTTTAGTTTTTTTAAACTATATTTATTTTTCACTTTTTAGTTCGATGTATTATAAAAGCGTGTTTTTTTAGTTTTTTTAAACTATATTTATTGTTTACTTTTTAGTTCGATTAATTATTAAAAAAAAAATTGCTGAATAAAAAAATTATATTTTTTTGAGCCGTGGGGATTAGAACCTACGATCGGTGAGTCTGGCAATCGAAAACCCGCGCGTTAGACCGCTCGGCCACGAACGAACTTGGACTTAGTGGGATATACTGACAGTAATAAGCCACTTGAGTCCAAAGGAGAGTTACAAACATACATACATACATACATACATACATACATACATACAGGTGAAGCTAATATAAGCGTGTTAATTATTGAAAGAGTGCTAGAAGCTAGAATACTGCAAAGAGAATTGTTATCATTTAGAAGCATTATATATCCTATAACTTTTCATAATGTGCTAGTTTCTTACTATTGCCTATAATTTCTGTTTGTTAGTTATACATAAAATTATTGAAAATGTGCTAGAGGCTAGAACTCTTCGGGTCTAAAGGCAAAGAGAGTCAAAGCATTGTATGTTTTTTAACTCGACATAATATGACAGCATATCATTATAGTCTATAATTTCTGTTTATCATTGATACCTAAAATTATTAAAAAAGTTGTAGAGGCTAGAAGTCTTCGGGATTACATGTAGAGAGAGTCAAGTTATCATTTAGAAGCATTGTATATTCTAGAACTCGTCA